CAGCCAAAAATACTCTACCCAGCAAAGCTATCACTCAGACTCAAAGGCCAGATAAAGAGCTTCACAAATAATAATAAAAAAAAAGCTAAAGGAGTTCATCACTGCCAAACCAGAATTTTATGAATTGCTGAAGGAGGTTCTTTAGGAAGAGAAATGAGATGAAGATAAAAATTATGAACAACAAATATGTAACTATCAACAAGTGAATCTAAAAACCAAGGGAATTAAAAAATCTGATGAACAATATTAAGTGGTGAATATAATAGAATCAGAGGTATGGAAGAGGAGTGAACTGACGATTCTCGGAGAAAAGGAGAGTGGGGGGGTACAGGAAGAGACTGAACATAAACTGTGCACCTATGGATGAGGACAATGGGGGATGGGGAAAGGGCAGAGGGTGAGGTGGGAACCTGGTGGAGTGAAGCAATGGAGGGGGGGGGAGGGATGAGGAACATTTGTAATAATACGAACAATAAAGATTTATTTAAAATTAAAAAAAAATAATGGCATCACTTTGAAAAGCATGTACCTTACCAAGATAGACATACATATTTATGTTTTTAATTAAGGGAGTTCACCAAGAATATTGGAATTAGGTAGCTAATTTTTATTAAGTGGTTCTGAAAGGAAACAAAGATGTTAGAAATGTTTTAAAAAGAAATTCTGAAATGCAAATATTCAAAATTATCTACTGGGACTATTACTTCCTTATCATTAGCAAACACAATGCAACCTTTGCTATTTAAAACAGCAAAATGAAACAAAAAAAAAGACAAAACCATATGAAAAGCAACTGATTGGGAGGAGTAGAAGAAGAAAGGGAAATAGACTAGAAATATCTATTTGAAAATTCACAGGTATAGTCAGAAGGGTTAAGGAGAAGAAAAGAAAAAAAATAATTATTATTATTATGGATCAATTGTTTACTTCCTGGTATCTCTTAATCAAATTCCTAAAGGAAAAGAGAACTTTTCTTTTAGAGAAACAAAAATTTCTAGGCCTTTAAATAATGCCACAGAGGTGGACATACCCCAAAATGTCATTTTGTAGTCTACTAAATGAATGGTTCTCCACTTTTAGTTTTCACTAACCATTAATATTAAAAATTATAAACAACACAGAGTTTTAGAGGAAGCAATAAAGGATTGCCAACATTAGATATGAACATGAAAAATAATGAAAGAAAGGTACTATCTCCCAATATCATTATGTTGTAACCATTAACTACCGTGTTTCCCCGAAAATAAGACATCCTCCGAAAATAAGACCTACTTACAGGTTTCCTTCTGAGTGATATATAAGGCATCCCCCGAAAATAAGACCCCCCCCAGGCTAAACATGAGAGATTTGGTCCACTGATTCTGAAAGAAATGGAGTCACAAGAAATTCACCAGGAAATTCAGGAATTGGATTGTTATGATGATGCTCCAGAAGATGATGACATGATTGTCATTGAATAAATGAGTAAATTCTTGATACTGAAGGATTCACAGTTTGTCTGGGTTGTGTTGACAACTACCATACTACGTACCATATACAGGTAATAAATTTCCTTTATTTTCATTTAACAATAAATGTGTACCATATTCTTCTTCATGGAAAAATAAGACATCCCCTGAAAATATGACCTACTGCATCTTTGGGAGCAAAAATTAATATAAGACACTGTCTTATTTTGGGGGAAACAAGGTAAAATCATAACAATTTTAATACAAATAAAGTATGAAAAACACAATCATAGAATATAATTTTAAAAATACTCATTGCACTGTTTTTTCTCTTTCATTGCACATCATTGAACTCTTTAGGATAGCATTGTCCAACAAGCCTTAAGACTTTATTTACTTGGCTAAGACACAGGACATGTGAATAAAGGCCTTTTGGAATAGACTAACCCATCCTCCAGGCCCATTTTATCAAGCTCAAAATCCCACCATCTTCCCACTAATCTTCAGCAGATAATGGAAACCATTTGGCAAAACTTGCTCAATCTAATCGCCATCAAAAACTCATCTTTATCCACACTTAGTTTTAGCTCCTTCCCTATATTTTCCAAAGAAAAGGTTTCTTCCCATTGGTTCCTTAGCCTTCTGACTCCTCACGAATGCTAAATCCGTCATCAACCCCCTTATCAAGTATAGAGGATTAAAATTCTTGGGCATTCCTCTCACTGAGAGGTGGGATCTATATACCCTTCCCTTACATCTGGCTCTGTGACTGCTTTGACTGATTGCATAGGTAGAAGTGTCACTGGTCCAGTTTATGGTTCCAGGCCCTAAGAGACTGGCAGCTTCCTCTTCATTTCTCTTGGAACAATATCTCTAGGAGCCCTGAGCTACTGAAGAAGCTTTAGTTGATGGCCTTGGTAATGTCTTGGACTCTTCTGACTAGACCATCCACCAGCTGAATACTAACAAGTGACCCCAGTTAATGTCATGTAGGCAGGAAAATTTCCTAGCTGAGTCTTGCTCAAATTATTAACCCATAAACCATGTATCAAGCCAATAAATTCTGATTTTTCTCTTTTCTTTCTTTCTTTCTTTCTTTCTTTCTTTCTTTCTTTCTTTCTTTCTTTCTTTCTTTTCTTTCTTTTCTTTCTTTTCTTTCTTTTCTTTCTTTTCTTTCTTTTCTTTCTTTTCTTTCTTTTCTTTCTTTCTTTCTTTCTTTCTTTCTTTCTTTCTTTCTTTCTTTCTTTCTTTCTTTCTTTCTTTCTTTCTTTCCCTTCCTTCCTTCCTTCCTTCCTTCCTTCCTTCCTTCCTTCCTTCCTTCCTTCCTTCCTTCCTTCCTTTCTTTCTTTCTTTCTTTTAATGTAGCCTTAGATAACCAGAACATGACCTCTTTCTCTCTTCCAGCTATTTTCTTTTGGAATATAAATATATTAAAGTCTGGCCCAGACTTTTCCAAATTTCCCATTTTACCCTAAATCTCCTTTTATATAACATTCACCTTTCATTTTATCTTTCATTTTATCTATTCGCTGCCCTTTCATTCTTCATTTTTCTGCAATGATGCTTCTTCCCCAACCATACCTTCAGTGTAGGCAGCTAGTTATTAATATAAGGGAGGTAGCTAGTTATTTATATAAGGAAGAAAGTAAAAGGGAACTAAATCTTAATAAACTTGGAAGCTGAAGCAGCTAATAGGACAGCATTCCATTAGGTGTACTAGTAAACAGCTCATACACACACTCTAGGGAACTAGAAATGGACAGGAAAACCTCACCAGGGTGCTAAAAGCCCAGTGCCAGAGAGAGGAGAGGAAATTCCTCTGCTGGGCACATACGCAATAGAAATGAGATGATATGATTGAACTTTTGGACACGTTCAATGAGTATCAGGATGATGAAATAGAGGGCCAGGGACTAGCTTGGGAACAACTAGAAAGGTAATCAAGTTGGATAAAAGGCTTGAAACCCCAATAGAATTTGCTGGGATGAGGCCTAGGAAAAATTAAAAATTGGAGTAAGGATAGTTTGAGTGGTTCTTTGTTCTTTACCTGAACCAAGAAAATATCTAGAGATTAACAGGAGCCTTGTGGCAGTGCTTTTGTGTCTATCTATTCTCCACATCACCAAAGGTATATGAATTCCCCTTAATTCACGAAATTTTGCCATCAGATTTAAAATTCTCTATCCATGTGTCTTTGAAATTCTTTTCTCAGGACATGGCAAAAGAACTCTGTACTTTTACCAGCAACAATGCCAATAAAATTATTTTTGCCACCATCAGTGATGTTTAGGTTTTGCCAAATACAAATAGTGAATTATCATTTCTGACCTCATTTGAACTCTATGTCATATGATATTCCTGAACACTCAATACTTTAGGAAACTTTCTCTCATCTCAATACCTCTCCCTCTTGCTTTTCTTCTTATTTTGAGCTTTCCCCCAATGTTCTCTTTTCTTCGTGTCTCCTTCCTACTTGCTTTTCAAAGTCACATCCATCCTACATTCACACTTAAATAGATGTTGTATGTTTCCTGAGAACTTTAAGAGTATATTTCTATCTTAGACCTCTCTCTAGAACTTAAGGGCCAACTCCTTACTTGACAGCTACCTCCATTTAAACCCAGAGGTTTAAATACTTCCTAGTCAGTCAATGATTCCACCATCTACTTGAAAGTTACACTTGACTCCTCCCTCCTTTAGCCATGCTCATATTGATTCTACTATTTAATATATCTAAATTTGGCTTATTCCTCATTATCCCATTTCTAACACCATAGTCAGGATTATACCATTTCTTATTACAGACTCTTCTGGCCTCCAGATTCAATTCACTCTCTAACATCCTGGTAAAGTATTCATACTATGGTACAAATCTTATACATTCCAATCCTTTGCTAAAATCTTTTAGTGCCTCCCCAGTAGCTCAGGTTAACTTCAAATTCCTTAACATGACACAGCCTTTACCTATATTACATCTCTTGGCTCTTTCCACTTGTGTCATTATAGTCAACTATGTGAAAATATTTGCAGTTTCATAAATTCACTATATACCCTCAAACTACCAGCCTCTGTGGTTGCTATTCTCTCACATAAAAGTCCTCCCTGATTTCTAAACCAAATTAATAGTAACTTTTGGTTGAAAGCTCAGTTTAGCTTTCATCTTCTCACGAAAACTCTTCTTGCCCCTTTATTCTGTCTTACATAACGTTCCTATGTGTTTCCTATGTGTTCCTCTCTATGATAGCATGTGTTAAAACATAGTGTTCTATTTAATATCTGCTTATGTAGAAGTCTGTCTGAACACTAGACCATGATATCCTTGAAGGCAAGGATTTTTTTTTTTAATCTCAGTTCTCCATTCATATTATGGCACACATTAGATATTCGTAACTACTTATTGAATGACCAACTGAATGAATGAGTGGCATGTATTTCATTTTCAGATTTTCTAGTTTCACATAGACTTTAAACAATATTACAAAAATTATAAAATTCATGGAAGTATTTCTTCCTACAAGGGAATAATGCTAAAAGGGCTATATCAAAATTCACCTTCTCAGCTTTTCCTTGCTTGAATGAAGAAGAGAAATCTTTTTGCTTGTTTCAAAATCAGAAAATGGAGCCTTTAATTCAAGCCCAATGTCCTTTCTTAGAGAATCAGAGCTAGAAACAAGAGAAAATCATACTATATATTTAAGAAGAAAATTATTCAGGCAATATTAAATAATAAGCACCAATACACTAATCAAAGGGTATTTATCTAAATATCTTGCTTCATACAAAGTTGCAGTAAATATAAAAGCATTTTACCTTACATATTTGGTACAGAATATTTTATTTCAAAATTCAAAATAATTTATTATCAAGATCATCATAAATTCAATGACTGATCAATATTATAAAATACACAGATAAAGAATAATAGATACAAGCAGGATTAATTGTATCACTGATTACAACTATCCCAAATGATATAATTGTATCTAAAGTTGCATTACAATGCTTCTCTATCCGCATTGACCAGATCATCAAACCTCAGAGGAAAGGTAGGGGAGGGGAGGAGTAAGGGGGAGAAATCAACCAAAGATGATATAATTGAATTTTTGGATGCATATAAGCCTAACCAATGGACAAACGCCAGGGGGATGAAAGCATGAATGGCGGGGAGAGGGACTGGGGGCAAAATGGGGGGAATAAGAACACATATATAATACCTTGATCAATAAAGAAAAAATAAAACAAAATAAAATAGAAAATAGAAAAAATTAAAATAAAGGTGCATTACAAGAAAAAAGAAAATGGATTAGAGGGCCAAGATACACTATTCCAACTTGATCAGAACTGGTTCCTTCTATATAAAAATTTGTCAGCTGCCTGTGTGGAGTCGCTCTGTTAGTTGAGCATTGTCCTGTGCATTGAAAGGTTGCCAGTTCAATTCCTGGCCAGGGCACATACCTCAGTTGCAGGTTTGGTCCCCGGTCAAGGCATGTACAGATCAATCTCTCTCTCTCTCTCTCTCTCTCTCTCTCTCTCTCTCTCTCTCTCTCTCTCTCTCTCTCTGTCTCTCCCTCCCTCCCTCCCTCCCTTCCCCTCTTTTCTTTCTCTAAGCATGTCCTCAGATGAGGGAAAAAATAAATAAAAATAAAAATTTGTCAGCTAATAAACATATTCTAGTTCTAACATTTTTTAGAACTCCTTCAAGCATTGTAATTAACTAATGTGATTGATTTTTATGAAATTTTCCTAAGAAACTTACAAACCAATATTAGCTCCTTTATCCCAAGAGATATATCTTGATTTGAAATTTTACTTGTATTTTTAGTAATAAGATTATGAAGAAGAACAAATATTCAAGATGAGTGAGGCTCAAAAAGTAGTTGCAAATAATATAAGAAAATCACAAAGCCTTCTAAAACCTTTCCCAACCTTATATCCCAGATAAGGCTTAATACCGTAAATCTCTTTGAGGTAAAAATGTGAAATAAGATCAAAAAAGCTGTTGATATCTCTGCATTACTTAAGTGATGGCATCTTTGGCTTCACCACATTTATTGATTGCCAAGTCTCTTCAAAATAGTAAATAGCCATATTTCTACAAATAGTGGATGGTCATGTTCTAAAAATTCTGGAAGTGAACAACTCAAAACTCCCATCATCATCACCCATGTCCTCAGTAAGTATGGCTGTCTATTGTAGCCCTATGCTTTAAAGCTACATCAAAATTCATTTCTCAGCTTTTCCTAGTTTGAATGAACCTCCTGGAGAACCAACTTGAATTGAGGGGGAAAAATTCACAAAAACTGAATTTTTATAAGCATAATATAATGCTAGCATTAGAAGGGTCTGACCACCAGTTAAGTTGCCTATAAACTACAGATTTGAATACCAGTTTCTGATATCTCTCAGGTGGAGGAACAGCAGCAGAGAGAGAAAACTTCTTAAGTATTATAATTATTTTTAAAATATATATTTTTATTGATTTTTTACAGAGAGGAAGGGAAAGGGAGAGAGAGTTAGAAACATTGATGAAAGAGAAACATTGATTAGCTGCCTCCTGCACACACCCCATTGGGTATGTGCCCGCAACCCAGATACATGTCCTTGACTGGAATTGAACCTGGGACCCTTCAGTCCGTAGGCCGACGCTCTATCCACTGTGCCAAACCGGTTAGGGCTTAAGTATTATTTTTAATAATTGGGCATTTAGGTTAAATAATTTTTTTAAAAAAAGACATCAGGGAGAAGATTAGTAGGTGGATAACAGCTGAGGCTGCTCTTCTTTGTTTAATTATTGAGGTTTATGTAAATTTTTATTTGAAGATAAGATTCTATTGTTTTAAAAAAGTTTGAAAACCACTGCTATTATTTAGTTTTGATTAGTGATCATCCAGACTCTACTTGAACACATCCATTCAGGGGAACTTACTACATTATAATTCACCTATAGTCAACTATGATTGTTATGATGTAGTTCCTTATATTTAGCTGAATATTCTGTAATGTGTACCTGAAATATAGAAAAAATTGTATCCCTATTCCACAAACTAGCCTCTTCTACCTTTTGCATCACTCCTAGCACAATAAGTTCTTGATAAATTTTAAATAAAATGTATATTGCAAAACCTGCTACTTTGAAAAATTAAAAACAAACAAAAAAAACAACTAACCAAGCAAATAGATCAGTAGAAAAACATCCCAGCTGTTCACTATAGGACTTCTGCAGGGGAAATCCAGATTGTTCAGGCTTCACAGAACTTTCATTCTTAACTGGAAGTTTTAAAAGGGAGACCACTTTAATTCTAAAATCACAATATACATCCTAATCAACAGCAGTTGTCACTTTTTACTCAATAGATTTTACAAAGCAATATTTTTAAAAACATAAAGCAATTTATTAATTTAAATGATGAATCATGAATCCACCCAGGTTAGAAAGCAAAATTAAATCACTACATACAATTTACCACAGAGCATCCTCTTACAACTAGATTCTAAAAATTTAGAAATACATTTGTTTGAAACACATTCAACTGAGTTTACTTATTAAGTTCTTATTTATAGATAACTGACAGGGATAGAAAATATATATGAGTCTTCAGTAAGCAGCTACATTGTCAAAATATGGCATCTGATATTTTTATTGTGTATGTTTTGCTTTGCTTTGCTTTAAGATGAGAAAACTGGAAGCAGAGGTAGTTAAAAACTAACAGAAAGGATGCTGGACAGGTGGTGATGAGCAGCTGCTCTATTTCTACTGAGACTCATATAAAGAAAAGATGCAGAAAGATCTTCGGTCACCTCTATAAGCCATTCCAGGAAAAACTCTGAAACTGTAGGGGAGCCACTGGAATGTTACAAAACCGACTCACTAATCTTCCCTGAATATTAATAAAGAACATTGAAAAAGAAGGGTGTATTGAATCTTACATCATCTGAAGTATGAACTCATACAGGGTAATCTGAGACTGTCAGACTAATTTTAAGAAAAATATTACCTTAATTTTAAAAGATTTCCCAGCTAGTATCCCAGGCCTAGAAAAACCATAAATAATCATTGACCAGCAATAATTCCTGTAGAATTTATTTCAGAAATTGGAGTATATCCTTTTACAAGCCAAATTAAAGCTAATTTAATTTCTAAAGTGTTTAGATGTTGGTGATATACTATATAATACAATAGAAGTGAAGGGTTTAGAAATATTAGATCAAATTGAAGCACTGATATTATATATTTCTAAAACAGAAATAATCACTACTCTATTAACTTACAGAAGCAAAGCACAAAGTATGATATGATTCAAGGTAGTGGCCCTGGCTTTTAGGCAATCATATAAGAACACAGCATGACTAATTTAATTTTAATGACTAAAAAATGATGTAGTAGCTAGATTACCAAAACCAAAATAACAATCCCACTATCAATAAATAATGCCTGTGCCTACCATAATGCTATATTGGTCCTGTATAACACGTTTTAATCCCAGGAAGAAGCAAGTCTTTTCTCCATAGGTAGAGAACACGTTTCTATTGATTTATTTACACTTGTTTCCTTCAGACTATGATTGGCAAGGATTACATGTTCTTTACAGTACTCAGCATAAGTCAATTCTTAGCAAATAAAAGACACAAGTGCTAAACCAACTTAAAAAATATGAATATAATTTTGAGGTATTTTAATTAGAAATTTTCAAACCTTTACAAACTTGCTTTTCACTCACCAGTATTTGAGAAATATGTTTTCCAGTATTTTACCACAATGCTAAGTTTCTCCATAGTCAGTGGTTCAATTAAAGTAATATCAGCTCCATGCTCTGAAAGACAACCTAAGAATATTTGTATTAAATACTGATCTATGATTTCTATTTGGAGAAAAAACAAATAATATACCTAATAGTAACATACCTTTAAAATTTTCAGGGATTATAAAAACAAATAGCAAATGTGTATTTTTCTTCCTGCCAAATCTGAGGGAAAAAAATATCAAAGTGAAGCAAAATCATCAACAAAAAAAATGGGATTCAATAATTTAGCCTCTTAGGAATTGAACTAGAATGATTTTTCTTTATTGCTTTAAAATTTTAAATGGCGGTATTAATATTGAAATTTAGTAAAAGTAGCAATCAGTGAGGGAAAGGTAAGACCATTTGAACAATTTATAAGGAAAGGTAGATCACTTGAACAACTTATAAACTTATAAGGAAATTTATTCACTTTTCCCTTCCCCAGTTGTAAAGAACCAAGCATTAGTGGTTGCCATGGATGTGAATTATAAAAAGACTATTCTTATTAACAGAATGAATTCCTGCTCAGCAAAGCCATGGGTCTGATTAAAGACTCAGAATTTGAATTTCCTTGACCGTTAAACTAGAGACCCTTAAGCATCTCTCATAAATAAAGCATCAGATGGAGTAAATATCAGATTTAGCAAAGTATCTCTTTCCCTTGGATTTCTCAAGTAACCTGCAATTGTGTATCTCAAGTGTGCTGCTGGCTAGGATGTATAGTATAATACAATTGTGTATCTCAAGTGTGCTACTGAGTAGGATGTATAGTACAATTGCAGGTTACTTGATAAATCCAAGGGAAAGAGATACTTTGCTAAATCTGATATTTACTCCATCTGATGCTTTATTTATGAGAGATGGTTAAGGGTCTCTAGTTTAACGGTCAAGGAAATTCAAATTCTGAGTCTCTAGTTTAACGGTCAAGGAAATTCAAATTCAGACCCATGGCTTTGCTGAGCAGGAATTCATTCTGTTAATAAGAATAGTCTTTTTAGCCGGGACTGGTTTGGCTCAATGGATAGAGCGTCGGCTTGGGGACTGAAGGGTCCCGGGTTCGATTCCGGTCAAGGGCATGTACCTTGGCTGCGGGCATATCCCCAGTAGGGGGTGTGCAAGAGGCAGCTGATCGATGACTCTCTCTCATCGATGTTTCTAACTCTGTATCTCTCTCCCTTCCTCTCTGTAAAAAATCAATAAAATATATTTTAAAAAAAAAAAAAAAAGAATAGTCTTTTTATAATTCACATCCATGGCAACCACTAATGCTTGGTTCTTTACAACTGGGGAAGGGAAAAGTGGATGACTTTAAAGAAATAAACCTTTACTTTTAAAATAATTTTTTTTTCAGGGTATATCACCCAAAGGGGCATTTTTATTTTCATTTAATATGGTCCCCTGGAGAATTAGCTCAAAGTCACACACTTAAGAGTCTCAAAAAATATGAAAATAATAGAGTTCCCACAGATCCCAAACCCAATTTCCTGTATTGTTAACATTTTATGTTAGTGTTCATATCTCTCACAATTAATAAGCCAATATGGATACATTATTATTAATTTAAGTTCATATTTTATTCAAATTTCCTTAGTTTTTACTTATAATCCTTTCTTTCTAGCCTAGGATCTCATATATTTAGCTATCATGTCGTCTTAGTTTCCTCCAGATTGGGACATTTTTGTGATTTTTATTTTATGATCATGACAGTTTTGAGAATATTGCTCAGGTAAGTATAGAATGTAAGATGGGCCACTTTTATTCTTTTTTTTAATATATTTCATTGAATTTTTACAAAGAGGAAGAGAGAGGGATAGAGAGTTAGAAACACTGATGAGAGAGAATCATCGATCAGCTGCCTCTTGCACACCCCCTACTGGGGATGTGCCCGCAATCAAGATACATGCCCTTGACCGGAATCGAACCCGGGACCTTTCAGTCCACAGGCTGACGCTCTATCCACTGAGCTAAACCGGTTTCGGCCACTTTTATTCTTGCTCTTAAAAAAATGAGACTAAATATTATCCAGATTCTTGGTCTAATCACCAGTTTACAAGAAATATAAGTAAAAAGGAATATTTTAAAGAATAGGATGAAGTGAGCAAAATCCCAATTGTGGGAAATGCTATTTTTTTAAAATGACTGTTTTAAAAACATATAAATAAAGAGCAAGATAAAAAAATAACAGAGGGAAGGAAAAAGGGAATCTTAATCTGTATAAACTCACAGTTTAAAAAATAAATCATAAAATAAATAAGAGAAACTTCAATATTGTTTGTATATTTGACAATATTAAGAAATTGTTATTAATTTTTAGGTGTGATATTGGTATTGTGAATATTTTTAAAGACATTATCTTAGGTACTTATTAAACTATTTATGGGTAAAAGGAAATGATATCTTAAATTTGCTTTAAAATAATTCACTAGTCAGCAGGAGTGGAAGGGTGGAAAAGGAGGTGTGGGAAAAGGAAGAGATCAAACAAGATTGGCCATATATCTGTAACTATTAAAGCTACATTATGAGAACAGGGAAGTTCATTATATTATTCTTTTCACTTTTATATGATTGAAAGTTTCCAAACTAAGACAAAATGTGGCATTATTCTGCTGAGAGAACATATTGCCAATGTTATAGCTGATAAGGCCTAATTTTCACAATTTATAAAGAACTCACATATCTTAACAAAAAAAAAATAAACCATCCAATCAAAAAATTGGGCAAATGCCCTAATCGGTTTGGCTCAGTAGACAGAGAGTTGGCCTGCGGACTGAAGGGTCCCAGGTTCAATTCCAGTCAAAGGCATGTTCCTCGGTTGTGGGCATCCCCAGTGGGGAGTGTGCAGGATGCAGTTGATCGATATTTCTTTCTCATCAATGTTTCTAACTCTCTATCCCTCTCCCTTCTTCTCTGTAAAGCTCAATAATATAGATATAGATATAGATATAGATATAGATATAGATATAGATATAGATATAGATATATATTTTAAATAGGCAAAGGATTTAATAGACACTTTTTGAAAGTGGACATACAGAAGGCCAAGACACATATGAAAACACATTCAAAGTCACTAAACATCCAAGATATGCAATTAAAAATGATAATGAATTATCATCTCACACCTGTCAGAATGGCTATCATCAACAAATCAACAAATGCCAAGTGCTGGAGAGGATCTGGAGAAAAAGAAACCTTCATGCACTGCTGGTGGGAATGCAGACTGGTTCAGCCACTGTGGAGAATAGTATGAAGTTTCCTCAAAAAATTTAAAAAATGGAACTCCCATTTGACCCAGTAATCCAACTCCTAGGAATATATACTAAGAAACTAGAAATACCAATCAGAAAGGACATATGCACCCCTATAGCAGCACAATTTACAATAGCTAAGATTTGGAAACAGCCTAAGTGCCCATCAGCAGATGAGTGGATTAAAAAACTGTGTTATATCTACACAATGGAATACTATGCTGCTCTAAAAAGGAAAGGAAAGGATTCTTACCATTCGCAAGATATGGATGGACATGGAAAGCATTATGCTAAGTGAAATAAACCAGTCAGAGAAAAATAAGTATCACATGATCTTACTCATTTTTGGACTATAATGAATAGCATAATCTAATAAACAATAATAGATCAGAGATAGAGAAGCGTCAAACAGACCATCAAACTTCAGAGGGAAGGCAGGGGATGAAGTGGGGATAAGAGATCAACCAAAGGATTTATATGCATGCATATAAGCATAATCAATGGGCACATATATTATGGGGCTGAGGGCATGTGCCAGGGGGTAGGGGTGGCCAGGGAGAGGTCAATAGGGGAAATGGAGACATGTAACACTATATGTAACACTTTAAACAATAAAGAATTTAAAAAAAAAAAAAAAAAAGCTAAGCCACAAAAAAATTGTGGCATTATTATTATCTACACTTTGATGGTCAATAAATTTAAATTTCTGATAATTTGACAGATACTGAGCTCTGATATTAGCTAAGATAAATAATTTTCAAATTAAAATATTATTGTGAACCCAACTTTAAAGAGAAGAGCTAAAATGGCCTCAGAAAAACAAACTGTGCTTAAATATATAAAACATCGTTTATGGGCGGTAACAAAGACAGGCTCAGCCTGAACTGTGAGAGGCCAAGAGACCCCACTGGTGCACAATTAGGCCAGGGAGGGAAGCAGGAGGTTGGCCAGCTAGGGAAGGGCTATGGGAAGGCTCCAGGGCATGCCCAGCCCTATTGCCCAATCCTGATTGGCTGGATCCCAGCAGCAAGCTAACCTACCAGTGGGAATGTAAACCCCCTAGTGGTCAATGCACATCATAGTGAGCAGAGTATTTGCCTTAGCCTATCATTAGCATATTACACTTTGATTGGTTGAACGGTCAACTGGATGACTAGACAGCTAGCATATTAGCCTTTTATTATATAGAATTCTTTCAAACAAGACCAGAAAAACCCCAACTGCATAATATTGTTAGATTATCTTCTACATGCATTTAAAAGTAAATATACATCATTCTTGCCAGGACCAGTTTGGCTCAGCGGTAGAGCGTTGGCCTGCAGACTGAAGGGTCCCGGGTTCGATTCCGGTCAAGGGCATGTACCGTGGTTGCGGGCACATCCCCAATAGGGGGTGTGCAAGAGGCAGCTAATCGATGATTCTCTCTCATCGATGTTTCTGACTCTCTATCCCTCTCTCCTCCTCTCTGTGAAAAATCAATAAAATATATATTTTAAAAACAATAAAAAAATAAAAATAAATATACATCATTCTATATTGCTAGTTACATTATAAGTAATTTATACATTTGTATCATATATACAGTATTGAGAACCTATTCTGTACCAGACTCAGTTTAGACTCTAGGAGATATTTTGATATTTTGAACAGACATAAACTGACAAGTTCCCTTCTCCCATGGAGTTAATGGTTTCTTGAAGAAGATAGACATTCAACAAATACTGTAAATAATTATATGTGTGACCAAATATGTGCCCAATGCTATGAAGGGAAGCCACAGATAATTGGAACTCATATTTGGACACAAACCTGCTCTGCAGCCTCAGGAGGCTTCCTGGCAGAAATGCCTCAGTGGTTGGCTAGGCATTAGCCACCTGAAAGGTTGGGGCTGGAAGAGGATAGGAAACATGACCAATAAAGTACATTCTGGGCAAA